CAGGTACAGACCATGGTACTTAAATCAAACCTGGGGAGTGGCTCCCTACCACTCCCCACTGCAAATGATCTTGCAATATTCTGGACCTGTGCTTGCAGATCCTGAAGAGACTTATCCCTGGTGACACAAAAAGATCTTGGCCACTGCAAGGCTGAGAAGCTGCTGGTGGAGTTAAACAGCTGATTTCACTGCTGAGAGCTGTCTTTTAAGAAATTCAAAGAAAGTCCTTATCTGGAGGTTTCAAAGGTGTTCCAGAAGGGTTACACACAGTAAATGAGGTACTGTGATATTGGTGAGGACCCAGAAGAGACTGAGGTCAAGAAATAAGTGAACCTAGGTGGGGAGGTAACTCAAAGAAACCAGGCAAGCAGCCATGTGTGGGTAGCACGACACTGACTCAGGCAAATAATATGTAAAACAGCAAAAAGGATAAAACAGTAGAAATTCTACTATGTTATATATATAACATCCTACTATATATATATATATATCCTATATATATATAGGTTATATATATATATCCTACTCTGTTTATGTATAATCCTACTAAGAAGGTGATAGAGCAGTAGAATCTACAATTATACTTTTTCCTTTCAGTCAAAAACATGTAGGGGCAGGAAATGCAGCCTTTTCAAACATGATTGGGTAGTCTGCATTCAAACAAAAAAGATTACGTAATTTATTTAGAGACTCTGAAAAAGGGTAATTCTTTGTAGATGGTCTGTGCCTTGCTCCCAATGAGTCATTTTTAGAAGGGGAGATTGCAAACATTGTTAAAGATAAGCCTGTGAAGGCAGCAGTTCTTTTGTGTCAGCTATGTCCTTTTTAGATCAGTAGATTAAACAAACCTCAAAAGGTAATTTAGTGAATGTAAAAATGTTTCAGAAAGCCAACAAGAAAAGAGGACGTTCTTCACTCCTAGATTCTGAAAGGGAATCCTAGAATTGACATTATTTCTTAGAAATCTAGAGTCTGAAAATATGTAATCATTTAAAACAAAACAAAAAACAAACAAACAAAAAAAAGAGTTCACATTTTGCAAATGGATGACTAAATGCAGTAAATATTTTAAAAGGCTTTTTTGTAACTCCCTAGAAAGAGAATGTTGCAAGCAAAAACCAAACAAAGAACTGTGAGATATCTCAAACTGCTCTTCTTCAAAAGGAGGAAAATAGACCATTTCAGAAATGGACTTACAGAAGAAAAAAAAAAAAAGGTTTGGGTTTGTCTTCATTTTCTTCAGGCCATTTTGTTGTTATCTGTATAGCAATTAGAAGCTACAGCATAGAGTGAGGTTGCTGTAACACAGCTGTGAAAGCTCAGAGTACAATGATTCTTCCCTCTGCTTGTCCTTACTCCTTATCTTTGTTACCTAATAAAACATTGTTCCATCCTCACTATGACCACTTAAAAATTCTCTGTTATGATCCTCTTTGTTAGCTATGATCTTCTTATCCATCTTCAGCAAACTCAGTGCTCTTGGATCTGTCCCTCTATGAATCATTTCTTTTTTTATCTACCTTTCTCAAGCTGATTTTATTTTTGCCCGAGTTATTCTCTCTGTTGTCTCTTCCTTTTGATTTTTTTTCTAAGTTTTAATGTTTGTCTGATTCACTATTCTGAATTCACTTATCATGATTCTTTCTGATTGTCATTATTTTGTCAGTTTTCTTTTTCATTCTGTAATTTATTTCATATGCCATCTTGCCCAGAGCAGCATCTCTTTAATTCATTCATCTCTGGTTTATTTTTAATCTTTCCTTCTCTTTTCTCTCCATGACTCAGTCTCTATTTCCCATAGGTTGTGTTTTTATTGTATCTGTAGGTTTTTTTTTTTTTTTTTTTTTTTTTTTTTTGCTTGTTCAGCATCAACTACTGGAATTTTCAAAGGGAGTGAATGCACACAAATGTCTCTGTACCAAATAGGATGATGTCAGCCATGCAGCTTCTGAAAGCACATTTCATTCCACTGACTTGTCAACAACTAGAAACCACAAAACAAATTGGTCTTTTATATCTGTAAGATATAGTTCCTGCATTTGTCTCCTGCAATTTGTTTCAACTTTATTCTTCTTAGCTCTTGCAACTATATGGTAAATTGATGTAGCTGTTCAAAATAAACACATTGCAAGATCCTGCAAGAAACAATTTAATGGCAGACAGTGATCATGAAATCACCACTTTAAATTAATTAGTAAGTCAACATCATTACAGTTTGCAAAGCAATCTTTTTTACTTTCAGTTTTGGAAACATCTTTCATACTTGTAGCAATATGGTTTAATTTCAAAGTATCACATCAACATTGCAAGAGTAACTTCTATATGAAAGTAGCATAAAACTACCTTAATCTCAAGTATCAACAACAACAAAAAAAAGCTTAATCCTCCATTACTTCTCTTTATTGCAAATAACATTTAATAAAGAATGGATGTCCCCTTTCTCTGTTGTACTCAACCTTTATCTACTCACAACTTTGATCTTAGTAGGGTTTCTTCCATCTCTAACAATTACATCCTGCAGCATGCCTTCCCACTCAGTTCAGTTTTCTGCATATCGCCATGATATATGACACTATACATGAGAGAGATATGTGTGGGATACATGTTTCATCTAAATTTAAGATTGAATACATGAGCCTTAGTGGGAAATTAAAAAAAGATTCTGTCACGAATTTCAGGGAAGAATCACAACCACTGGATTGAATTAGACAATTGATCTAGACAATTGAATGGTGCTTTCCAATTCAATTTATCATTTAATACTTTCATGATAGTTTATTAATAGATTATTTCCTTTGGAGACAGTATTAGATCTTTTAGTCTGACTTCAATTATAACACAGGCTATTAAACCTTACACAAATACTTTTACAGAGGCCATTAACTCCTAAAGGAAACTTGTATCATGGCTTCCAAGAGATATCTGGTACTGATTTTATGATGTCAACAACGGAAAACCCCAACGTTTTTGGCAACTGTTCTTGTTTAACAGCCTCGCTGTTAAAAAATGTTGCAAAATAAAAATGTGCCCAACTTGTACTTTGAATATTTTTGGCCTTAATAATCAGGCACAGTTTATTGTTTTGCTTGTTCCCCATGGGAAACCTTTAAAGCTTATTATTGTTTATCTTTGAAAGTGCTTATACATGGTTATAATCAGAATCACAGAATTTCTAGGTTGGAAGAGACCTCAAGATCATCAAATCCAACCTCTGACCTAATATTAACAGTCCTCCACTAAACCATATCACTAAGTTCAGCATCTAAACGTCTTTTAAAGACTTCCAGGGATGGTGACTCCACCACTTCCCTGGGCAGCTTATTCCAATGTCTAACAACCCTTTCGGTAAAGAAGTTCTTCCTAATATCCAACCTAAAACTCCCCTGGTGCAACTTTAGGCCATTCCCCCTCGTCCTGTCACCAGGCACATGGGAGAACAGACCAACCCCCACCTCACTACAGCCTCCTTTAAGGTATCTGTAGAGAGCAATAAGGTCGCCCCTGAGCCTCCTTTTCTCCAGGCTGAACAAGCCCAGCTCCCTCAGCCTCTCCTCGTAGGACTTGTTCTCCAGGCCCCTCACCAGCTTCGTCGCCCTTCTCTGGACTCGCTCAAGCACCTCGATGTCCTTCTTGTAGCAAGGGGCCCAAAACTGAACACAGCACTCGAGGTGCGGCCTCACCAGAGCCGAGTACAGGGGGACGATCACCTCCCTAGCCCTGCTGGTCACAGTGTTTCTGATACAAGCCAGGATGCCGTTGGCCTTCTTGGCCACCTGAGCACACTGCTGGCTCATATTCAGCCGACTGTCCACCATCACTCCCAGGTCCTTCTCTGCCTGGCAGCTCTCCAACCACTCATCTCCCAGCCTGTAGCTCTGCTTGGGGTTATTGTGCCCCAGGTGCAGGACCCAGCACTTGGCCTTGTTGAACTTCATGCAGTTGACCTCAGCCCATCGGTGCAGCCTATCCAGATCCTCCTGCAGAGCCTTCCTACCCTCGAACAGATCGACACACGCACCTAACTTGGTGTCATCTGCAAACTTCCTGAGGGTGCACTCAATGTCCTCGTCCAGATCATTGATGAAGATATTAAAGAGAACCGGACCCAGCACCGAGCCCTGGGGGATGCCACTAGTGACCGGCCTCCAGCTGGACTTGACTCCATTTACCACAACTCTTTGGGCCCGGCTATCCAGCCAGTTTCTAACCCAATGAAGCGTGCGCAAGTCCAAGTCAAGAGCAGCCAGTTTCTTGAGGAGAATGCTGTGGGAAATGGTGTCAAAAGCCTTGCCCCAACAACTACATTCATAATTTCCCCCCCCTTTCTTAAATATCCTCTTGCAGAGGCGCAAACAATATAGCTTCTTGGCCTGGCTCTGGCCACTGGTGGGGCCCTTATCTGACATGGGGCAGCTTCTGGATTCTTCTTGCAGAAGCCACCACTATGCCCCCTCCCCCCCCACTACCAAAACCTTGTCATGTAAACCCACTACAAGTAGCTATCCCAAAGAACTCCCTTCAGATTCCTTTATGTTACTTTTAGGGCTTGTAATGTCATACTGCCATTCTTTCTTCAGTAATCTACAGCTGGGTAGCTGTCACTTGAATTTTTAAGGAAGAAAAATATACCTCTTAACATCCTTCCCCAGCATCAGAAACAAAGGCTCTCCCCTCTCCCTACCCCCTCTAGGTTTCTTGACCCATTTACAACAGTCTTTGTGCCCTGTTTGGAGTTCTAGCTATTGCCATCCGTGTCTGCAGCATCCCGCACTTAGCATTTGCGATACAAATAGCTCGAGCCTTCCTGCACTTTCAGGGGCTGATGTAATCCGAGGCAAACAAAACCTTTGGGGGCTGATCACGACTGAGCTTTGAGGTTTTGTGCGTGTGCTGCTCCCACCTCCTTCCTTCAAGCCAACCAAGCGCTGGCTTCTCGCCAGCCCCGCCGCCCCGCTCCGCGTCCGCTGCTTAGCGACCGTCTCCAGGCAGCAGCGGCGGCCGCCATGCCGGGCGGGCAGCGGGACGTGCTGGGGGTGCGCATCGCCCCGGCCCTGCTGCGCTTCGGGGCCGCGCTGCCGGGGCGCCGCTACCGCGCCGAGCTCAGCGTCCGCAACCTGCGCGCCGGGAGCTGCCGCCTCCGGCTGCTGCCGCCGCGCCGGCCACAGGTGAGGGGCGGGAGGGGAGCGGAGCGGCCGCGGGGGGCTGCCCGCCAGCCGTCCGAGCGGTGCTGGGAGGCCAGGGGAGAGCCGCGGGGGGACCCGCCCGGGGACCCCTGTGCTCCTCAGGTGCCCCCCTTCGCTAGGCGGGGCCCTCGCCAGACGCGTGTCACTGTGCTGAAGGTGGGCGGTGAGCTGGGTGAACGGGAAGGACGGGGAGACGGTTCCCGGAGGCGAAGTTGTCCGAGTTGTCCGAGTGATGATCCCGAGGAGGCAGCCGGTGCCCTGGGTTGCTCCTCGTGAGGAAGCCTGGGCGTGGTTCCGGTAACACCTGGAAGGTGTTCTCCTGCAGGGCTTCCCGGGAAGCCCTAACTTTTTTTCCTAACTTTCGTTACACTGTCACTGAAGCATTTTGGGATGAGTTGGGAGCTGTTGAGAGTGCTTCGTTTGGTAGGGCTGCGCTTATTCTCGGTTTTGTTAGTTTTCATCAGCCTTATCAATCTTTCACATGCTTCAGAAGCGGAAAGGTGCAGTCAATTTTAGAAGAGAAAAGGCTACTCCTCGTAATTTATGAGGATGGCGACTGTGAGCAAAAAAAAAACCCAAATCTGTCATGACTTAGGCTGAATATTTTCATGCCAGTGTGCAAGAGATGCCCAATGTGAGAGCTAGGGGACAAGATTCCACTTTAGATGCTTGGTTCCAGGAGGTTCTGTCATGCTGCTCTTTCATTCCCAGACCTGGTGCTGCTGTCCGTGAGTACGTGGCTCTGAAATGGGTGACTCAGTGGCAAGTTTTCTGAAGCATTACACTCGTAGTGTGCAAGAACTGAAAATTAACTGAGCTGCCACAGTGCACAGCTGAAAAATGCATTTCAAGGAATTCAGCTCACAGAGCAGTTTTCTGTAGGTTTCATTAAAAAATTGTTATTCCAGAATATTAATTTTCCCTTATACGGAATGAATATGCATGGGTGTTAATTCATTTTAGAGAAGACTTTGCGCACTCCCAAATCAAAGCATGGTTACTGGCTGATATTTCAAAATCAACCCCATCATCTTGATGCATATTACATAACACATTTCCTTTAGTTGAGTATTTATACTGCTAGGGAAATTTTAAAGGAATCAATAAGTTGTAAATTGCCTTTATATATTCCAAGTAAAAATAGTACAGAAAACTTCAAGAATACTGGGATGACTCTGTTTCAGAAATAAAAGATTTATTAAAGTGGACATATACAGCAGAAGGCAGTTATGCATAGAGTGATGTGAGCTATAAGGACACTGAGGCATTGGAGAATCTCTTGATCTTGCTATGAAGCTTTCTTAGGAACGTGGTAGCTGTGGGATTCCTTCTACATGCTCGTAGATGGCTTATGTGTCCTCTGTTCAAGGAAAGACGTGGTGGTGTTGGATATTATCAGATGCAGACAGACAGCAACAAATCCAGACTACTTTTTTTTTTTTTTTTTTTTTTTTTGAGGGAGGAGAAAGGTACTTTGTGTCAGTTGCTTCTGTTTTTTTTTCCTTTCCTTCCACAGCCTCCCTCCCCCTCTACCCAAAGAATCAGGTGCATGGGCCATTCAGGAAGATTTTTTCAATGTATAGTGATACTTTCATTTGAATTCCTCTGAGTGTAGGTCAGATCTACAGAATATTCATAGGCTACTTTGGATTGAGATTTAATCCTTGTTGCCCTCTTAGATACTGAAAAGATTCTGTATTAAGTAGTATCCGACCTTATGGTGCTTCAGAGGGTTTATGGCAACAGCAGCAAAAGCTAGAGCTCTCTTGAAAGGACTAGAAACAGTATTTTGTCAACTCATCAAATTACATTGAAGTGTGGATTTGGCATTCTTTCTGCCTTTCTGTTTTACTGTATAAAGGAAAAAAGATAAACAACATGAATATAAATAAATAGGCAGAGGAATTTCTTTGTTCTTCAAATCAATCCATGTGTTCTCTGAAAAATGGACCATATGTATATATTTTTAAATCTTAAAAATGAAAAATTGATTAATTATTTGGTTTTTTTTTGCACTGCAGTTTAAACTGATTGTGGAAAATCCAGAAAAACCTGTTGCACCTGGACTTCAAGTCAAAGCTGTTGTAGAATATTGTCCTGAGAGTGAGGAAGATCTTGAAGACAGACTACTGCTTTTAATAGAAGAAGATGTAGTTGATATCCCCCTGCTTGGGTATGAAGGTCAAAAGTTCATATTTTGCTGTTAGAGTTTTCAGTTTAATCTTGTGGAAAGTTTGTTAACACCTGTCACATATGGCTGCATAACTAAGCTATCAACTGTAATGAAAATGAATAGCAAGTTTCTTTACAATTCTTCTCCTCCCCCCCCCCCCCCCCATTCCCCCATAACAGCGCACAGGTAAGAAGATAATCAGGATGGTGGTGTTCTAAGATCCTAGAGAGGCTTTGAGTTCTTGTTTTTGCTTTACTCTTTATTGATTGTGATAATGCTGATGAATTCTAATTCTACACCAGCATTAGACAAGTTGAGTGGGTCCAGAGAAGGGCGACGAAGCTGGTGAGGGGTCTGGAGAACAAGTCCTATGAGGAGCGGCTGAGGGAGCTGGGCTTGTTCAGCCTAGAGAAAAGGAGCTCAGGGGCGACCTTATTGCTCTTTACAGATACCTTAAAGGAGGCTGTAGTGAGGTGGGGGTTGGCCTGTTCTCCCACGTGCCTGGTGACAGGACGAGGGGGAATGGGCTTAAGTTGCGCCAGGGGAGTTTTAGGTTGGATATTAGGAAGAACTTCTTTACTGAAAGGGTTGTTAGACATTGGAATGGGCTGCCCAGGGAAGTGGTGGAGTCACCATCCCTGGAAGTCTTTAAAAGACGTTTAGATGTAGAGCTTAGGGATATGGTTTAGTGGGGACTGTTAGTGTTAGGTCAGAGGTTGGACTCGATGATCTTGAGGTCTTTTCCAACCTAGAAATTCTGTGATTCTGTGATTCTGTGAAGTTGACATTTACTTTTAATGTTTTTTTTTTTGTTTTTTTTTTTTCCCTTATTGCATCACTAATAATAATAATAATAAAAATTAAATAACCAAAAACACCAAACATATTGTTCATATTCAGTTGCGATTATAGTGAAGAACAGTTTGTTTAATTCTAAAGATATGGTTTATGTCACATGTGCAAGTATCATTTCATCAGTCCATGTGTTTTTGTGTGCATGTCTATGTGTCTAAACATACATGTATATGTCCTGTGTTGTGTATAATCTGTATATTGGTTGGAAAAGGTAAGTTTCTAAGTAATACTTCATCAGACTTAGGCTAGAATTTATCTGAGGATGAGGATTTGGGATGGAGTTGTTCTGGAGGACCTTTCTCTCTCTTGCCTATAGAGGAAAAACAGAATGATAACAGGTCCAGCTCTTGGGTGCCTAAGTTAGGGTAGGTGAATCCACTCTCTGCGTAAACTAATGCAAATCATGATTTTCCTGAAAATCTCAACATTAGAAATTCCGTTTACAGGTGGAAAGGAATTTCATTGGAGACTATTCAATATGAATTGTTTTTAAAAATAAATCCACAAACTCCTTATGTTAGCCTAACACGCATCAGGTTTTGCCTTCAGATGGGCAATACTTACTCTGTCATTTTATTTACCTGTCATGTTGTGATCTTTTTGTTTTTCCCTGATTTGCTTTTTCTCCTTTCATCTTAAGAGCACCGTATTTCAGTTACATGCTTTTTGCTTCTTGGGCTAGCAGTTTCTTAGCCACAGGTCAAATGTTCATTCTACTCTTATCAGTCTTAATGTTAGAATACCCTGAGAACAAATGAAATAAATTGGTATTGTTACAATATTATTGTTATCGCTAACTTATTATCAAGTTTAATACTTAAGTTTTAGTATTATTTATATTGTTAACTTATGATATAGTTAATATAGACTGCCTTGGACAGATTGCACTTTGGACAATAAAGCTACTGGTAATTCCTTTCTGGAGAGGACTTTCAGTAGATAGCTAAGTATTTTAAATCCTTGTGTTTAATTATCTTTTGCAGAGGAAAACTTAACTGGGTATAACTGATTATTATCTTTCTGTGTAAAAATCAAAACTAAATATACTTAATACTTTTTAATCAGTCTTCTCCCAAATCAGGTTTGTCATGCATATATCTGTTTTTTATAGACAGATGATAGTTATTGCACCGAAGGGTCACTAAATGTCAAACATATATTTTTTTTAAAACCATAGTTTTGAATATGCCATTTATCATTTAGAGAAAAAAAATATAGGTAGTATAAGAACTCATTGGTTGACAAATACTAGTTAAAAGCTTTTTTTTTTTTTTAATAAAGATATCACTGTGAAATGTGCACAGAAGTCTTAATTTGACAGAAGACACTAAAAATATTTTAAAGGAAATATTTGCATGTTCTGTTTTGGAGGGTCCCCGTGCTGTGTCCTGTCCTCTTCTTCCCTTCAACTGGAAATAGTATAATTTATTAGTGTATTATTTTTATTAGTAGTATAATTCCAGTGTGTTTTTTCTCCCTAATTAAAGGTTTTTACCTCTTTTTTCATTTTAAATAATATTTTATTGTTTCTGCTGATGCACCATCAATAATTTAATATACATTTATCCTATAGTTCCTTAAGTGTTAAGTTGACATACATAATTTGTTTTTTTAAGGATTTACTTAGATTTATGTCTGTGTTGTATGTATTTTTTGACATGTGAAGAATTATCAGCCACAGATTTTGGCTGGTCCAAATACAGTGTTTATTTTTATTTTCTAGAGTGAATGACTCTAAGATTTTGTACTGGCAGTACTTTGAAAAAGTACTTGCACATCTAACAAACAGAATTACATTCTTGTGGGTAGTTAGGGTCTGGCGGCCGGAAGGTGTGGCGCTGTACGGAAAGGTGGAGCCCCTCCCTTGATGGACAGTAGCGTGTGGGCTGTGATGTAAGGAAGCAGAAGTGGCGCTATGGGCCTCGGGTAGATAACCCCATGTGGCTCGACAACAAACGCCATTTGCCATCCACCACATTGGTGTGTGTGAGCCGATGGACCGAGCGGCCTGGGGTTGGTCGCCGTGCCGTTCCTGAACCAGGTCGCCACTGCCTCCTGAAGGCAGCAAGTGGTGCCGAAACCTGGGGAAGCTCCTGGATTCGGGTGAACGGCGACCGGAGCGGCAGGACCAGCCCGGCGGGGAGGAGGCTCCCGGACCAACAAGGAAGATGGAAACCCTTGTGCAGGGCGTATCCAAGTTGTGGAAGCTATGGGGTGGCTCGGCTGAGGAAGCCAGGGGTGCCGGTGGGGAACCAGAGCCTGGGGAAATCTGGGAGAGACCACGGCCATGCTAGCGTTCCCGGTCTGGGTGACAGACGGGGGGCAGAGGGTTCACTCACCCACAAACCCTAAGGATGTGCAAGCAATTGTTAAAGCCATTGCGGATAAAGGGCTTCATTCTGCAATGGTCTCCACCCTCATAGATGGTGTTTTCAGGGGAGACGACATGCTCCCGTTTGATATAAAACAAACTTGTAGACTGATCTTTTACGGGGGGGGATGATCATTTTTGAACGAGAATGGGGGGACAACTGTATGAGACAACTGGCCCAAGTAACTGGGGCGGATCACACACTGTATGGCTCTAGCCTGCAGCGGCTAATGGGTACGGACCCAACAGTGATCACCCCCCAGGCGCAAGTCCAGGGCCTGAGGACCCACGAAGGTATGGCAACTCGTGCGTCCAGAGAAGCTCCAAACAGCCGACGCCCCAACTTCAGAACAAAACTAATGAAAACTGAGTTTCTGTTCACAGGAATGGATCATCGGGCACCCCCGTAATCTGTATACCCCAGTGACAAGAGAAGACAATAAGTCAGCAAGCGTCCTGTCTAAGCCTGAGTGTTCCACACTGGCAGAATTCAGACAACAGCGAAGCGGTCTCCGTGGGTGGGGGGCTGCGATGCCTTTGTGTGATCTTATCTTTGGACCTTGTATACTAAATAAGCTTGTGTTGTTTGTTAAAAGTTGGTTAGAGAAAGTTTACATTATGTTGGTAGAACACCAACAACTACTTTAAGAGTGTATTTACTCAGGGTTACCAGTTACCTCCTAGTTTTCTCCTGGTTATTGTGCCTTATGTTTTTTAGTTAGGTTATGATGTCTACGTCTTAAGATTGTTATATTTTAGCTAATTTGGTTGTGCATAGGGAGGGGGGAAATGTGGGTAGTTAGGGTCTGGCGGCCGGAAGATGTGGCGCTGTACGGAAAGGTGGAGCCCCTCCCTTGATGGACAGTAGCGTGTGGGCTGTGATGTAAGGAAGTGGAAGTGGCGCTATGGGCCTCGGGTATATAACCCCATGTGGCTCGACAACAAATGCCATTTGCCATCTACCACATTGGTGTCTGTGAGCCGATGGACCGAGCGGCCTGGGGTTGGTCGCCGTGCCGTTCCTGAACCAGGTCGCCGCTGCCCCCTGAAGGCAACACATTCTAAAGTATGTGAAAGCTAGTTATGAAATTTCATAAACCCAAGATGTGTTATTGAAGTTGTTAATATTATTTAGAGTGGCCTCTTTAAATGTCTGCTACTTCTCTCTTACCTGTTCACTTATTTTCAGTTTTCTGTCTTTGGAATTGTTGTTTTTCACCTTGTATTTCAGTATGGATTATTGTGTATGTACAAATGTATAATTCTCTATGAACTTGTGGAAAATCTGGGTCTGCATGTTTTGCCCATGGAATCTTAATGAAAGAGAAGTTCATGGCCAGTTTAGGAGAAAAGCATGAAAAGATTTATCCTTTTTTTGCCAACATTTTGTGCAATTCCTTCGATCACATCTGCTGTTCATTTTAAGATAATCATTAGTCTGGGAAGCGCTTCACTGTGAATGTAGGAAAGGCCTGTTTTCCATACAACATCAGACTGCAGTAACTTTTAACTTATTTTTGTATCCACTCATTTGGTTAAAAATATCACCAAAAGAATTTTATTTCGATTGTGCCTTAGTGAAGTTAATATCATAGTTGTTTGATTTGCAAATGAAATGCCTTTTACGTATTTGCCTGGCACATGTGACTAGCTCCAGTGGTTAACCATATTGATTTGTCACTCATGTATTTCATACAAGTTTTGGTGACCACACAATGCAGTTAGTGTGTCTTGATTGTGCCATGGACTCTTAATGTGCTCAGTAATACAGATGTAATGAATTAATTTAGTAAATACTTGATAGCAATAGAAAATACTTATACTCAAGATTTGGGATTGTATTTCAATCAAACCAGAGAGTTATGGGTTGATTTTTAGTGTCTTTGTGTGTAAATGATTCGCTGAAACTCCACCTTTTCACTTTTTCTTTGAAGTATATTAATTATGATTTGTTTGTTTGTTTTAACAAAACATTTAGAACATGTTTGAAATTATACATTCCCAGGGTAACTTCTCATCTTGAAGAGAGAGGGGGAGCCACAAAATAACCCCATCCTATGTTTAAATAATAATATTAGTGTGTGTGTGTGTGTGTGTATATATATATAAAGTAAATCTCCTAACTCCGTTCTCTCTCTTTGGTGTAAGGATCACCACTGTCTACTAGGAATTGTCATTAGAATTCATTTTTATTCCTGTCTACTTGAGTAGTTATGTATATGGGACTTGAGTAGAAAGATACTTAGTTTCGTATTTCTCATGAAACTTCTTGGAAGAATGTCTAAATAATTGGTACATGTTGTCAGGTCTTCAAAATAGTTTTAATTGTGCTCTGATCTTGATAGCAGTTTCCTGGTGCCTTTTTTTTTCTCCTGGTGTACCCCCACCCACTGGTTTAAACCATCTATTTGAAGAATTCAGTATTTTGTTTTGCATCACAATAAATTATTAAATAGAATTAAAACCAAGTTGTTGCCCAAGAGGAAGTTCATTTGTTTCATTCTGATTCCCTTCTCCCTCCACCCCCATCTCCTTTCCTTCCCACCACCTCCCACTTGCTTGCCCCTGTACTTTGTGAAAGAGCTTCTGTGGGTAGGGTCCACCTAGCTTGGCCTAGGAAGCTGTCTTCCTTCTGTTAGTCTTTGGTGCGGCGCTTAGTACAGGCCGCGAGATGCAATTGTTCCTGCATGTCCCTATTTGCAGTTAAGAGGGGATGGACGTCTGTGCTCATGTAAAATCCTAATTAATTTTGAACACAATTTTACATGATGTCAAACGTGGGCTTGTATTAGGAATCGGGGCCTTCATGAGTTTGCTGAAGCAAGTAGTAGTTTTTCATTAAGTCTAAGCCGTACCCAATCCAGTGAAGTAGTCATGCTTGCTGATGCTCTTAAATAAGTAACAGCAAGAACTTGTGTCATTATACGCTTCCTATGTTTTAACGAATTTTGCTGAAGCCATGTGAAGTATCTATAAAACAAGAAGACTGTAAATTGAAATTGGCATGCATGTTTTTTCTCTGCTTTTAGTTCAGGCAGCTGACGATGAAAGACAGTGGATGTTAACTTTGGAGATACGACCAACTCAATACAGTGAACACTTTTCTAGTGAACTGTTTAAACTACTTTGTATGACAAATAGGTATTTAGAGTTAAATAAAAATGCATATATTCCATTTTGACTAATTGCTCGAGGCTAGCTTGTTTTAAAGTTGCAGTCATTAGTTCTTAAATTAAATGAATTAATAGATCTTTTTAATGTATTTTGTACTGCTGGAGTGAGTTGCATAAACATTAGTAGGAGGACTAGAAGAAAAGCAGAACTCTTCCAACGTGGTGCTTAATCAAATTTCTTTAAAAATGCAAATGTATTTTCAACTTTGGGGAAAATAAAACCATGCCTTCTCTCTGCAGATTAATTCCACGCTGTTATCTGGAAACTGATTCAGAGATTAATTTCGGTACAGTGACTGCAAACAGTAAAGTAATTAGTAAAGAGATCAATATTGCTAACCATGGATCATCATCAGGTAAATATTAAATATGCACTGAATTATGAAAATATTTATTTTCTTAGGAAATGTATTTTTTTGTGTGTGAGTTAACTCCTCAGTGACTAAGTAGGAATTAACTGAAGTTCTGCGTTATTTCTATTATTCCTATTATAGCTAAAGGTTCTTGTATTGGGTTTATGTGGCAAAGTTTTGGTAGTGGGGGAGCTGCAGCAGGGGCCTCTGTGAGCAGAGCCCCATGTCAGACCAGAGCCAGCTCCAGCCAGCTCCAAAAGGGACCCATTGCTGGCCAGAGCCGAGCCAGGGAGTGATGCTGGGTGGGCCTCTGGGAGAGCAGAGTTAAGGAACGGGAAAAACACCATGTAACAGCAGCTGGGAGAGAGGAGTAAGAACATGTGAGGGAACCAGCCCTGCAGACCCATAAGCCTTTTTTCCATCAGATTTTCTCCCCCTCTTTCTTCTGAGGAGGGGGAGTGAGAGAGCCGTGTGGTGGTGCTGAGCTACCTACCCGTGCATTCTGCAAGTGATCCATTGGCCAAATGCAAAATTAGAATAAAAGCAGTGGTTAGTGAAGAACTTATCGAGGGCAGACAAAGGCAGAGCTGCTCAATCTGTGTGTGTAGTCTCTGAATCGGAACACAGCAGGTTGTGCTGGCAGGCATCATATAAACTACAGCAGCAGAAATGCTGTATGCAGCCTGTGAATCAAGGCATTTCGTATCTCGTGCTAAAAGTATGAGTGCTTTGTTCCTGCTTCTGATGTCATATTAGAGATCAGCTGTTGTTTGAGGTAAAACAGTGTGTTTTTCCTACAACATTTGAAACAATTTCTTGCTACCTATAATGGCAAAAAATTAGTGCTGCTGGTGAAATACACATTTACGAATCTTTTCACATTTAAACAAATGTTTGTATGTCAGAGAAAGATTAACTGTTCTCTTCTGCAATGAATTGGATAGTGTATGAATCAAGCTATGAAAAGTGTTGCTATTTGCAGGTAATAGATCTCTCTTTGGATCTGTGAAATTTCTAGACTGTGGCTGCCTAGAGCTGTGCATAAAATATTCCCAAATTTATAAAAATGTTACTTACAATGGCTTTATGATATAATCAGTTCTGTTTGGAATGTAAGTACCTTTCCTGTTGCAATGACAGCTTGCACAGTTGCATTGGATATGTGGATGTTTAATTTCAAAAATCCTGGGAAGAATGCTGTATTCTGTTAGAAATAGTTTTGGAAAAGGTTAACTTTGTGTTTCCTGTTTCCATAAGAAAATGTACCGCTTGTAAACACCTGCTTTATGCCATTTATGAATGCAAATGTTTCATAGGAAAATATTGATCTACAACTTCTAAGTTGTGCAATGTATTATTCCTTTTAGGTACATTTGAGATATCATATGATGGGGTTGTGTTACTTAACATAGAACCTACCAGTGGAGTGGTGGAGCCTGATTCTTTAAAGGTGGTCAAAGTGGCTATCTGTACAGATGTCCCAAGAGTCATCAAAGAAGTGATAAAGTGAGTGAGTATGGCTGATGGAATACAGGTCTATACATTTTTTAAAATTAATTCTAAAGATTTTACTATGAATTTGTTTACTATATATAAATAAAGCTCCCTAGTGTCAATTCCCGTCTTCAACGCTTATTTTCATTAAATGAACTTGATGTTTATATTATCTCCGTGGAACAATGATGCACAGGTGGTGTACCTGGCTGTTTTTTATAGAATTTTCTTGTAAGTTGTAATTACATGGCATGTGTGCACATCTCTGTGTGCTGCTAACCAAGAGCTTCTGCATCTTCTACCTGCAGTGTTCCTGTACCTTCCACACCACCAATTTTTTCTGGATTTCTATAACTTTGCTCTTTTTCTTTTGGTTGGAT